CCCCCCTGCCTAGAGGCTCCTCTACTGCTCTTCAAAGGAACTTGTAGCTGGTTCGCCGTGTGTGCTGTGGTTGGAACATCCACTCCACAGACTGGGTCTGCCTCCCGTTGTATTTTTTAATAAATAATCAAAATAAAAATGCGCAATGACTTTGGACTTTTAGGGGCGGAGCTGCCGGATCCAAACAAAGAGTTGCCGGAACAGAAAGGGTCAAAATGAGAGAGTTCCCGGATCTTGTTCCGGCAGGATCTGGCTCAAATTAACCACTGAGCCATCAGTAAAATATCAAGAGTAATCAAAATCCAAAGCATGCAATTCCTCATGCAACTACTCAAAATATATGGTATATAAAGTAAATACATGATTGTTGTAAGGTCCATATGACTGATAATGATGTTCATGATGTAAATGGGCAAACATTTTAATTACGGGACATGCGAGAACATGAAACTGCAGGTTTCAGTTTCAGTGTGAAGAACTGACCTGTTGATGATTACCAGCCGATCCAAAGCTTTTTATGATCAGAGTGGTAGACTTCATCAGAACCACTTAGGATTTCTTTGGTGTAAGTGGTCTTAATTTAAAAAAAAGGGCTAATGTGGAGACATAGTCTGAGGACATTTTCTATTCTATCCAAAATTACAAGAAATAAAGGATCAAAATATTTTACTCTGTGTAATGAATCTATGTAATATTCAAGTTTCACTTTCTGAAATGCTTGACAGAAAACTGAACTTTTTCATGACTTTCTAATTTTTTTGAGTAGCACCTGTGAACATTCTGGAGTTACACTTAAATGGACTCTTATGGATGGACAGGTAGGGACAATCTAAGGGACAAAAGGTTGGATGTTTTTATGTCCCTCAAATGGTGAGCTGGAACACAGACAAAGTTTTCACAAAGGGGTCACCTGTAACCTTGACCTTTATGACCTTGAATTCAATAGGGATCATCTTTGACCCATGAGGTGTCCAGCTGTGACATTAAAGGGTTATCACTAAGAAATTGTCCACAGACAGACTGATACGATAACACAGACAATGCCATACCATAATATGTCCCTTCTTAGGGCAGGCATATAAAAACAAACAAACAAATCTTGTGGGGTTTTGTCTTTCTGCTGTGTAGTTCAAGAGAAGCATTACCTGACATGCTGTTTCAGATGGCTGGATTTCTTGTAGGCCTTACTGCAGTACTGACACTTGTACGGCCTTTCACTGCCCACCACATCCAGGTAATGCTGAAAGGACAAGCGGGGGTTCTGGGATGGGACGAGGCCTATTCAAAAGGACATAAGAACATCAAACATGTAGTCCATTTTGTATTTGTAGAAGAAACAATGACAGTTAAATTTTGTTGAGTTTGTCCACTCAAGAATCATTAAAAACACTGTATATGTTGCTAATCTCAAACTCAGAAACAACACCATTACATAGTATTAATACTTTCAAACTTCTCATTCTACCAGAAATCATACCGTAGTCAGAGATGAGGATGGGTTCCTGTAAGGGAATATCCGGAACAGGTAAGATGCTTTTTGACGCTTTTGCTTTGTGGGTTTTGCGTGGAAATTTGCTCTTCTTCAGCTGCAAGCTTTTGAAGTGAGAAGCGATGTGTGTTTTCCTGTGGCCAGATGTTCGAAAGACCTTCTCACAGTGAGGGCAGGGGAACGGACGCATACCTAAGAAAAGTTTTGATTTAGGATGATTAGAGTTCAGGAAAAACAAAGATGTCAATGTGTACACAAACATTAAAAAATGGGGTGGGGGGGGGGGACTACATAAACCACTCAAAATTATTATTTTTCAACAAATCTGGACAGATTACAATACAAAACAAGGGTATCTCGTACAGCGCATAAAAAAGCAACACTGGTTTTAGCTCCTTTCCTCTGTGGAGGCCGAGTTTCAACCGAGGGGTATTGTTCACTGGAGGATATTTTGAGCTTCCTAGACTCAGAGCAAGCGGACATGACCACTCTGAAGCTGAAACAGCTATCAGCCGCACTCCATCCTGCCTTTCAGTAGGTTTGGAGTTGGTACTACTGCCAACGGACTCCCCTTCGACTGCCCAGGTGTTGGCCACCACTCTGCTTCACACGCTCCCGGAGATAATCGAGAGGTCGGCAAGAGCCTGCTACCTGTAGATGCCCGAGCCGTCGGGGCCAGTCACGTTAACCCTTTTGGCAGGAAGGTTTGCCGCTCAGCACACCAGACACCGGGACTCAGTCTGGCCCTGTTTCCCGGCTGTGTCTGTCCTCCTCTTGGGCTCGGCCACCGACCCTCTGAAGTTGAGGGCTCCGGTTGCCTCTTATGTGACCATCACAAAGGTCAAGGGGTTCAAGGACCAAAGCTTCCCCACCGTCCCTCCTCTAGAATCTAGCTTGTCGGCTGTCTTTGGGGTGAGACAGCGTCGGCCGACGCATTTCCCCTCCATCTCTGGGTGACCAGCTCACCACGAAGCTGATGGACAAAATTCACCAGTGTTTGTCACAGATAGGAACGGTGACAAGCAATATTGCAATACTAGCCCTTAGTATATCTAAGGAGGCAAATGAGCCAAACCCTTTCTCCACAGACTTGGACCAGACCTGGACCAGATCTGCACAGCGGCGGACATGATTACCAACCTGTGTGCGGCACTCGCAGCATGTTCTGCTCACATCTCGTCCTGGGCAACGGTGCTACAGAGGCAAATGTGACTGAGACTGTCTCTGGTTTTGAACTAGCTGCAGTCCTCATCCGACGCCCTGGAGCAAGTGAGGAGACATGCAGACCCCCACTCTGCTCAGACACTGGGCCAGTGGCAACAACGGAGCAGATTCCAGCATCAGAAAAAAAAGAGGAAGCGGGTGCTGAGGACGGTTGTAAGAAATTACAGAGTGGTAAGATATTATGCAAACTAATGCCCAAAAAACACATAGACCTTTCAGTCCCCACACGTTCAGGTCATGAACCTGCAGACAAAGCAAGCGCTTTACGCAGGGGATTTTCTCCTCATTTTCCATTCCAGCAGAAGTGAGCGATGAAAGTGAACCTCCTCCAAAGCAGTGTTTGTTTTGTTCAACCACATACACCGGTTTTTCTCCCCAACCAGACGCGGTCGGGAAGCAATGTAAAAACCGCTACATAAAAACCGATAAGCAGCACTTTCCAGGTCAGCCTCCCATGGGTTAGTGTAGGAAGCCCCCCCACAGGAAACAACGGTGGTAGAAGCTCGGTTGTTCCCCCTTACGAGATGGAACACCCACGCACGCCCACTTTCAGAGCACAGTGGCAAAACGAATGCTTCATGAGTAGATGGCTGTGCCGTCTGATTTGCAAAGGTTACACTCTGCAGTTCGCAAGAATGCCCCCGAAATTCAACGGGGTGTTAGAAACCCAGCTAACATCTCCAGAACAGGGTTTAATCCATCCATATATTATCCCGCTTCTTCCATTTTGGGTCACGGGGGTCACTGGTGCCCATGTCCAGCAATCATTGTGCGAGATGCGGGGTACACATTGGACGGGTTGCAAGTCCATCACAGAGCCATATAGAGACAAACAACCATTCACTGTCTCACTCTCACCTAGGGACAATTTAGAGTTACCAATCAGCCTAACATGCATGTTTTTGGTCTGTGGGAGGAAACCGGAGTACCCAGAGCAAACCCACGCACACACGAAGAGAACATGCAAACTCCACCCAGAAAGGCCCCTGGACCGGGATTTGAATCAGCGACCTGCTCACTGAGAGGTCAATCAAAATTGATGGAGCTTCTGAAAAAAGACGTGATCTTCAGAGTTCCTCCTGGAGAGGAGGAAGCCGGTTTTGACTCCCGGTACGCGTGTGTCCCTGACGGAATAAAAAGCCAGACACCGACCCAGCCCACACATTAAGCACATTATAATGGCCCGACCTGTATCTGGGTCAGGCTTTGCCAGGCTCCAGGTTTGGGTTAGAAATGACAGCTCTACCGCCTTCCATTTGGTTATTCACTCGCCACACGCGCATTCTCAAAATGTGTAGAAGCATCTCTCCAGCCGCTTCGAATGAGAGGAATAAAAATCGTGTGTTATCTGGATGACCTTTTGCTTCTATCTCGGTTCAGGGAAGAGGCAGAGACACTTCCGTCACAGCAAATTACATTTCAGGGGGTGAATCTAAATTAAGTAAACGTGACAGCTCTCCTGTCAGAGCAAAGGAGGGATTCCCTAACATCACTGTTTCAGCATGTCCGGGTTCACAGGACGGTGACGGTGCTGTCAATCATGAGATTACTAGGAACAATGTCAGCAGCTCACGTCATGGTACCACTGGGGCTATTATTTATGCGCCGCTGGCAAAGAAGGTACAATCGACTGAAAGTCGATCCTGTACGTCACAAATGGCACCTGATCACTGTTCCCCTATCTGTGGGGGCAGATCTGAACCATTGGGGAATCCCCAAAACCTGTCAGAGAGTGTCTCTCTGGGCAAAGTGACGTCATTCACTTCTGTGTTCCTAGACGCGTCTCTCTCTGGCTGGGGAAGGACCTTCCTGTCCCAGACGGTGGGAGGAACATGGCCAGTCGCCATGTTTCGCCCCATAAATGTACTGGAGCTCCACACAGTGGGGAAAGTGGTCAGACATTTTACCTCACTGATTCAGGGTCATCACGTGATGATCCACACAGACAACAGAACCGCAGCGGCATACATAAATCACTAAGAGGGCATGCGTTCATCTCAGCTGCTCAACGCAGCCAGGGAACTGCTAAGTTGGGCACGCACACAAATAATGTTCGATCAGAACAGTTTACATCCCAGGGTGATAAACAGAGGAGCAGATATGTCGAGAGGAGGCCCTTTGGACAGGGATTGGAATCTTCATCCAGATCTAATTTTGCAAATCTGGAGCAGGTTCGGGAAAGCGGAGATGGATCTGATGGCCACCTGGGAGAACGCCCAGTACGACCTGTTCTTCTCCCTAAACCCACGGGATGCACTACCACTGGGGATGAACACTTTTGCGCACAAACCATGGCCAAAGACACTGATTTATGCTTTTTCACCAGTTCCCCTAATAACATTGTTGTTGGAGAGGGTGCGAGAGGAGGATCTGAAAGTGATTTTGTTCGCTCCAGAATGCATGAACGTGTCGTGGTTCCCGGTTCTGCAACAGCTGACAGGTCAATCGTGGAAGCTGCCGTGAAGAGAGTATGCTCTCCTGCAAGCAGGAGGAGCAATCAGCAGCTTCCCTATAATAGGACAGCCCCTTTGGGTCTGGCCACTGAATGGGAACGCTTAGAAAAATTTGGGCTTTCCAAAGACGTAATATGTACCATCCAGGGAGCGTATGCAACATCCACTACTGTTGTTTATGCTTCTAAGTGGGCTGCTTTTCAGCAATGTGCCTAGAAAAGGAGGTGGACACGATATCATGTCCCCTGAGCTGCATTTTATCCTACCTGCAGCTGTTGTTGGACAGGAATTTTCAGCACAATTAAAACTTATGCTGCAGCAATCTCTTTCTGTCTTGAAGAGTTCAACGATGGAACGGTTTTCAATCACCCTCTAATAAAACGTTTTCTGAAAGGTGCGCGTAGGCTCAGGCCAGTGAAGTGCACCTTAGAATCACAGTGGGATCTAGCGCTTGTACCCCTTGCACTAACTAAAAAAAAACATTTGAGCCCTTGGGCCAGATACCTTTGAAGTATCTGTCGCTCAAAGTAGCATTGTTATTAGCTCTGATGTCAGCTAAAAGAGTGAGCGACTCGTCAAGTATGTCCATCGCTTCTTCTTGTCTCAGAATCCAAGGAGACGGGCGTTCAGCAGAACTCCGACCAAACACTGCTTTTATACCAAAAAGCATAACAAGTTCATTCAGGTCCAGTCATTATGCTGGACAGTTTCTGCCTTCCTCCGCATAAATCTGCGGAGGAGGAACAATTTCACCTGCTCTGTCCAGTACGCGCACTCAGGTGTTATGTGACACACACAGCCGCACTGTGCAAATCCGAACAATTATTAATACATTTCAGGGAACAATCACAGGGTCTGCCTTTATCTTTCCAGCATCTGTCACATTGGTTATGTGAAACTATATCACAAGCCTATTGTTCTCCTGGTCTTCAACCGCCTGAAGGACTCAAGGCTCATTCCACCAGGGGGATTTCTACTTCCACAGCTCTGCACAGAAGGGTGTCTGTACAGGATATCTGCTCTGCGGCTTCATGGTCATCGCTGACTCCCTTCATCCGTTTTTATTTATGAAATGTCTCCAGCTCTTCTCTAACACATTCGGTTCTCAGAGTCATGTCAGAGTGATCTTTCAGTCACAACTGTTTAAAAAAAATAAAATAAAAAAAACACAGCCCTGCTGTTATTATTAGCAGGCATTTTTCTACGTTTACTCGTCAAGTAGGAAAACTTCCTTTTTTCATTAGAAGTTTTCCCTTCTTATTCCTCTGCTTGCCTGATATGAATAAGCATTCCTTCAGCTAAGATCAGACACAGAGGCTGCACGCCTGTCATCCAGTACGCACCAGGTACATGGATCAGCGGTGCATAATTACACTTGAATGGAGAATGAGGTTTTTAGGCAGATGTCGTGTGCTTATGGTTCTCGGGCAGACCCAGTGAGGCATGGACCATATCCTGCTCCACCCTTTAAACCCAATAGCGACAGCTTTTAAAGGGTGTAGCTTACATGAAATAGAACGTTGGTTATGTATTGTAACCCTAGATTCTATGAGTGTAAGTGTAGCCCTTTAAAAACTGGGCCTCACTGGCTCTCAAGTGGCTGAAGAAAAGAGTACGCTTTTTGGGAGCGGATCTCCGGTCCAGATGCAATTTATAACGGACCGGGTGGGGCCCACACAATAGGTGGGCGTGGACAAAAAGTTTCCAGTGTTCGGCGCGCTGCGCACGGGGTAAACCCAATAGCGACAGCTTTTAAAGGGCTACGCTTACTCTCATAGAATCTGGGGTTACAATACGTAACCAACATTTTCTAGCCTTGGCTCGAGTTTTTCTGTGTGTGGACCTTCTCTTCTCCAACCCACACTCTTCTTACGATCCACAACATGACAAAGACGAAACTCCTCCTCTGAAAGTCAGCTTTAACTCACTCTAAAAGGGGGAGTCTTCATTTTAAAATCTTATCTAATCAGGCAGCTTGACCAACGAATGTGGGTGTATCAAATCTTAAGCTGCTACATTCAATTGGGTCAGATAATCACCTCTTTTCAAAGTCCACAAGGGAGAAATGAAATTACTTTCCTTGAGTAATAAAAACATTTAAACCTTTTATCAAAACGTCATTTTCTCACAAATAATGTCATGATTTACTTATTTAAATCACATTACTGGATTGCTGGAAAATTGTCTTCAACCAAATCTAGACAGATAAAAATCTGTTTTCATTCCAGGGAACATTTTTACCATCTAGCAAATGTGAAAAATAGCTTGGTTTCAAACTTATACTGTATAATAGCAAATTTAAAGAAAGATTAAACATGGATTTGAGCAACGTTTAGCAGTCTCTTACAACTGTAGCCCTCTGGTCAATTGAGGAAAGTGTGAGGGAAGTCAATTACCAAAGGGGGAAGACCATTAATGTTTGAGACAGTCAAACTTTCAAATCCACAGGCAGTTTCTGGTGGTTGGTTGGTTAACATCAAAAGGCCATAACAATGCATCCTAGGACACTACAACACAATATACTGTATACTTTTACTAAGGTAATGTATACACTATACTGTGTACTTTTACTAAGGTAATGTACACAAATATTTTGTACTTTTACTAAGGTAATGTACAAATATACTGTGAACTTTTAATAAGGTCATGTACACACTATACTGTGTACTTTACTAAGGTCATGTCCACTGTATACCGTGTACTTTTACTAAGGTTGTGTACAAAGTTGACAACCAAAAATCTACATAGCCTTCTTGGAAAAAACGGGATCTTACTGAATGAAATTAAGTAAAAATAATAACTTAAATATCCTGATGCATGCTCAATAATCCAGGTAGAAAAATCCAAAAAAGTTCAATCTGGTCCTCTGACCATTCAAAAAACAAAAACAAAACAAAGCAAAAAAAATATAGAAACGTTTCGTCTCTCATCCGAAAGACTTCCTCAGTCTGAGGTGCTGTATTCAGCTCAGTCTCTTAAATAGCACCTTCTCAGAGTGGATCAACCAGTTTGCTGCTGACATGATCAAGAAGGACCATCAGCCTAACAATGGATCATTAGCACACTGATGGCTGTTTACTGTTCACAGAGGGCTGAGTGATACTAGCAATCACAGCATTGTAAGAGGGGGACAGTTGAACCCGGAGGCCTCCACCCCTGTTTAATGATGGACGATTTCTTTTCACAAAGATGGCCTCCTTTACTCCTCTCTCAAACCATCGTTCCTCTCTGTCCAGGATGTGAACATCTTCATCCCTGAAAGAGTGACCGCTGGCCTGGAGATGAGTGTAGACTGCAGAATCCTGGCCTGATGATGTTGATCTTCTGTGCTGGGCCATCAGTGTGCTAATGATCCATTGTTAGGCTGATGGTCCTTCTTGACCATGTGAGCAGCTGGTTTTGGTTGTCAGCAGCAAACTGGTTGATCCACTATGAGAAGGTGCTATTTAAGAGACTGAGCTGAATACAGCACCTCAGACTGAGGAAGTCTCTTGGATGAGAGACGAAACGTTTCTATATTTTTTTTTTGCTTTGTTTTGTTTTTGTTTTTTTTGAATGTCCAGAGGACCAGATTGAACTTTTTTGAATAACTTAAATGTTGAGCACCATTAGTGTCAAATTAACAGTGACACTTAATTTAGTAATAAAATGTAAAAAAAAAAAAAAAGCCATACAGAAACATATTTATCCTGAAACATCTCTGCTTATTTGGACTAATGCAGTAATTTTAGGATGCAGGAAGGCTAACTTGACTTCTGACAGTAAATAAAAACTGAAATACAAAAAACACGTTAATGCTATAATTATCTCTAGCTGCAGCAGCTTTGTTATATATTTCAACTGAACTGTAGAAAAAGGGCTTCCAGGAAACGGAAAACAAAATGACGAGGACTCAAACAGAGCATCAACAACTTCAGGAAGCCTTTTCCTTCAGAAGTCACTTGAGTGACCTTCAGAAAAAGTCAATTTAAAGACAAACATAAATTTTACTTTAGTTTGAAATGAAACATGTGTGCATGTTCACCTGTGTGCAGTCGCATGTGCACTTTCATGCTGCCAGAAGTGGAGAAACACTTCAAACAGCACTGACACTCGAAGGCCTTGATGCCGCTGTGTGTTTTCATGTGCGCTGTGAGGGTGCTCTTCACAGCAAATGCTCTGAAACACTGTTTGCACTTGAAGGGCTTCTCGTGGGTGTGAATACGGATGTGGCGGACGAGGTCGCTAGGTTTTTTGAACTCCTTGGAGCAATAAGGGCAGCCATGCCAGCGAACACCGTCCTCCTCCCTGATCGAGCCTGAAATAAAAAAAAGGTGACAGGAATCAAATGGCTTCCATTCTTCAGTTGTGTTATGCTGCAGCCTGATGCTAAAACTCTTTAAATCATATAATCTTCACTCAGCTCTTTAATGACAACATGAAAGCAGAAGTGTACAGTTTTTGAATAAAGCCCACCTCTGGTAAAAGAAACTGATTGGACATGAGAGGCACACACCTGTCTAATGAAGGCCTCCTGACCAACAACCAGAGCAAAAAAGTCAGAAGGTCCAAGACTGGATCATTGTGATCTTAAGGTCCTGTTCCACTACAACGCTTTGGACAACTTATGTTCACATATGAAGAATTGTCCAACACGCAGCCATACACTGAGGATGGAATAAAATAAATAAATTGGTAGCCTCTTTTGGACATCTACATACCATGTTGCTAACGAGTTGAAGTAACTTATCGATAACCTGTCACTAGCTTATACAGAACTTAAAACAAGCGTATGACAGTGTTTACTGACTTGTGGAGAGCTTGTAATGAGCGTTAGTGTAACTCATGCTGAACTTGTGCACAGCATGTTGGGAGTGCATTAAAACGATAAACGTGACATCAGATATAAAAGAGCAGCTCTCTGCTCCTCCAGTCAGTAATGTTGAATTGATCAACATGCCTCAGAAGAAATCAAACAAAGCTGTGATGAAGGAAGCTGCAGCAGAATCCTCCATCTCTGTAGTGATGGTTGTGGACCTCTGCACCTCGTGGATCCAGCAGGAGCTGCTCATCATTTGGACCCTATATATAACTGAGACTCAAACCGCTGGTAGATAGCTAGCTGTAAGTTATAAATAAATTCAGTAAGTTCTGGGGTTGTCAGCTACATGTTCAATATGTCATTATCCTCTAATGCCCCTCAGCATGAGGCAGAGCCCACTGTGCACTCTAAGAGCCTTTATTAATGCGACAGCATCCTCTGTCCTCCACCAAAGACGATATTGAGAGAGCGTCTCAGAACCCTGACTTGAACCCAGGAGATACCTGAAATAGTTTCCACCAATCATTCCCATCCAACCTAACTGAGCTTAATCTGTGAAAAGAAATGAAAAAATGTCCCCCAATTCAGGTGAGCCTCAAACCTGATAAGACTCAAGGGTTCAAAATTAATTTAAACCTGTTTCGATTTTTGAATAAATTTAGAGAATTGCATCAAATCTCTAATGGCACATGTGTCAAACTTAAGGCCTGGGCCAAATTTGTCCCTGGCTAAAATCTTATGTGCCCCCGCAAGATGATATTTTAAATGTAACTATTTTTATTGCCTCTAATTTTGTTCAAAACACATATAAATACTTCATTTAGTGCAGAGTTCTGTGGACAGCTGGCTAACTTTGAAGCTGGAAAAACGGTTGGATTTTTCAGTGATCTTGATGTGGAAAGAGCAACAGAGAACGACAAACGAGACAGATCAAACTCTTACTGATGAACCTGCAACCAAGAAAAGATGCCAGGTATCAACTGAAACGGTCCCGTGACTTGGACTGTTTTTAATTTTGGCCCCGTTTTGTAACAGAGTTCGACACTCCAGGGTACTGAGTTTAAAATAATGAGGGGGAAAAAATGTTTAAACCTGTAGCCGTTTTTACATGTGACATATGAATAAATGTGATTTTATTTGAAGCAAAACAAAAAAATGAAGGCCTAAGTATTTTCTATACTTATATCAGTTTCCAGCTTCAGTGTTCGTGTGATTTCTCAATCAATCGCATCACCGGAGCACCACTTCCTGCCATAGAGGACATCTACAGGAAGCGGTGTCTGAAAAGGGCTGGGAAAATCATCAAAGACTCCAGTTACCCAGCACACAGACTCTTCACCCTCCTGCCCTCTGGGAGGCGCTACAGGAGCCTCCGAACTAAGACCATCAGGTACCGGAACAGCTTCTTTCCCACAGCTGTCACACTCCTGAACTCTGCCTCCTGACATCTGAACAACAACGATGGTCTGTGTTCTCATACACACAACAACAACACATGGACTGTAACACCACCACCTGCACTTTCATCTGTTAGCCCACTACTGTACATACTGTACACATAACTTACTACGTACTGTTCATAAGTACTCACATATGTATATTTTTCTTTTATATAGTCTGTTTATACTCTTTCATATTTATAACCTGTTCATAGTCTGTACACTCATAGCCTGTATATATTTATACTTATAGTTATAGCATATTCAAAACAACTTACTGTACATTTTAATATATATACTTATATTTTTGCTAAGCACTTCTGGATGGATGCAAACTTCATTTCATTGCGTTGTACTTGTGACATGTGCAATGACAATAAAGTTGAATTCTGAATGAATTGACGCCTATTCTATATAAAGTCTACAACTATGCTCTGACACAGGGAGACCCCCCAGGGTCATGGTCGGAGGCAGTGATCAGTATTATTCACAAAGAGAATAAGGATCCGACTCTTTGTACCTCCTACCGTCCAATTAGTCTTATGTGTGTAGATATGAAAATTCTAACCTCAATATTTGCAAATAGAATTCAGAAGTATATAAAAAATGTGGTTAAACCTAACCAAACTGGTTTTATTGTCAACAGACAAGGGTGTGATAATATTAGAAGAGCCCTAAATTTGCAAATAATTGCAATGAAGAAGGACACCCCATAGATGTTTCTTGGTCTAGATGCAGAAAAAGCCTTTGACCGAGTGGACTGGTTATTTCTAGAGCAGTCACTAAGATATATGGGTTTTAAGGATGTATTTGTTGACTGGATAAAAATACTCTATAGGAACCCAACTTCCAAAGTTAGAATAAATGGTCACTGCTCAGATTTCTTCCCTCTGGGACGTGGCACACGCCAGGGAGATGCTCTTTCACCTGGTTTATTTGCTCTTAGTGTCGAGCCTTTGGCAGAGCCAAGAAGAGCAAATCCCCTCATACGAGGTATAACAGATGATGCAAATATACATCATAAAATTGCACTTTTTGCTGATGATATTTTAGTCTTTTTGGAGGAGCCGATCACCTCCATACCTGCTCTTCTAAGATGCCTTGATGAATATAGCTATGTCTCTGGATATAAAGTTAATACCAGTAAATCAGAAGCAATGTAGATTGCTGGCAATTGGTCCTCCGGATTTGATAATTTAGTCTCCTTCAAAAGATCCTCCCATGGATTTAAATACTTAGGCATTAACATTACCCCAAAAACTGCACAACTTTTTGACGCTAATTATGGAAAAATCTTTAAGGAAATCAAAAAGGATTTGGAAAGATGGGATGTACTCCCTTTATCCCTTTTAGGTAGAATAGAAACAGTAAGAATGAATATACTGCCAAGATTATTTTTCTTATTTCAATCCCTTCCAATATTAGTGCCACAATCTACATTTAAAACCTTAGAAAAGCTTGTGTCAAAGTTTATTTGGCAAAACCGAAGGCCAAGGGTGCGCTTAAAAGTAATAATGACCAGTAAAGAACAGGGAGGTCTAGGACTACTTAATTTTAAACTGTATTACTGGGCGACACACTTGCGTGTTATTTTGGCCTGGATCACTAATAAAATAGAAACACAATGGGTCTCAACTGAACAGAACTCACTCCCTGGGTTGTAATTGAGTATCCCACCATTCATGAGCCAAAGCTATCTAAAAAAGTTAAAAATTAACAACCCCTTGATTCTACAAACTCTGAAGACATGGACTTTAATTCAAAAACGACTTAAAGATACTACAGGACTATCGCGTGCCATGTCGATTATGGGTAACATTGAATTTATACCATCCATTTCAGATAGTGTCTTTAAAAGGTGGGCAAATAACGGTTTGATTGTACTGGACCATTTGTTTTATAGGCAGACACTGAAATCATTCTCTCAATTGCAAGATCAATTTTCTCTGCCTTCAGGTGATTTATATAGATATCTGCAGATTAGAAATTATGTAACAAAACATGGGGAATGGGATAATATTAAGAAAGAACCTACTGATATTGAAGCATTTTTTTATACATGTACTTGAAAAGCAGACGCTAACAAATAAATTAATTTATTTAATGTATAGAAAATTGTTGACAAATTTGTCAGATAATACATTATATATTAAACAACAGTGGGAACTGGAGCTGAATGTAATACTAACAGACGAAACTTGGGAAAATGTATGTTCTCAATGCCATCAAGGGATTGAGAGCCAGATCTGGAAAGAGTTTGACTGGAAAATAAAAACTAGATTTTTTAAAACTCCTTTAAAAACTTTAATTTCCAAGAATACAATTACAGATAAATGCTGGAGGAACTGTGATATGGTCGGTGACCACACACACGTCTTTTGGGACTGCCCCAAACTTAAGACCTTCTGGGAGAAAATCAAACAGAAGATAAAGGACATTCTAAGAACAGATCTTCCCATGGACCCTCTTCTATTTCTGTTGGACATATATCCCAAGGATTTACTCACTAAAGATCAATGTCACATATTGCACATTCTGTTGCTAGTGGCAAAAAAGACGATTACCCTAAACTGGATTAAGCCCTGCTCACCAACTGTTGCTCAGTGGATACAAAAATTGAAACATGTCTATACGATGGAGCGTCTCACTGCCCAACTACAAATGAAAATTGAAATTTTTTTACAAAGATGGTTATGAATGTGGCAGCACAGTGGCGCAACTGGTAGAGCTGCTGCCTCTCAGCGAGCAGGTCCTTGGTTCAAACCCCGGTCCAGGGGCCTTTCTGGGTGGAGTTTGCATGTTCTCTCCGTGCATGCGTGGGTTTTCTCCGGGTACTCCAGTTTCCTCCCACAGACCAAAAACATGCATGTTAGGCTGATTGGTAACTTTAAATTGTCCCTAGGTGTGAGTGAGAAAGTGAATGGTTGTTTGTCTCGTTTGTCTCTATGTGTCCCTGTGATGGACTGGAGACCCATCCAGGGTGTACCCCGCCCCTCGCACAGTGATTGCTGGACATGGGCACCGGTGACCCCCGTGACCCAAAATGTAATAAGCGGGTAAAGATAATGGATGGATGGATGAGTTACGAATGTCTATTTTATTTGACTAAAATCTGTATGTTGCTTGATTCTGCATGTTTGTTTGTTTTGATAGGTGTTCCCGAACCCAATCTCAGCAGGTTGTTTTTTTTCTCGCTTTTTTTTCTATTGCTTGTTTGTTTTTGTTTTGTTATTCTGATTTTTTTTCGATGTCTGTAAATTGCTGTAGTTTTTTCTATTTTGAGGCAATAAAGTTAAAAGAAAAAAAAGTTGAATTCTATTCTATTCTATTCTAATATTCATATAATAAATTTTAGCTCAGGCTCCCATACCAGGCATTTGTATAGGCTTCTTAAAAATGCTCCTCCTCTTCTCCCTCAGTGATTTGTCAGGAACCAGCTCCTTCTTGCGCTCAGCAGCTGCCACCTCTGGGTTCTGGTTCTGGGGCTCTCCGGACATGGCGTTGCTCTGAGGTTGGACAACGTTCAGTCCGCTGTTTTCCAACGCTTGCTGCAACGACAAACCAGCCCCGTCACAGCTTTAACTGGACAGAAGCATTAAGTAATTGCAAACGTCAACAACAGATTTGAAGAAAACTAATTACGTCTGTTGAGGAAAATGGGAAAGCAACATTTACATTATTATTGCTGATATGGTTACTTCAATAACTTCAGCTATGGCCTGAAATGTGGAAAACATTTGGCTGTGACAATGAAGCTTTAAAACTGAAGCTTAAACCCTTTGGTGTGCAGAAGTTTGTTTCAAGTTTGCAGTCATGGTAGAATTATGTCATCTTATCTTTCCACTGGCTGGTTGATGATACGGTAAAAAATACAACCGTTGTCTTGCAACCTTTAAAAAAAGCACTTGAACAGAACCCATCATCTCATTTCAGATGCAAGATTTAAATCAGATTTCTGAACATGTTTTTTAAAATCACTCTTTGTTCGAACGTATCTGCAGGTAAATTACTTAAACTCAACTGTCTCCATAAATGCACCACTTTTTGGAAAACAGTTTCCAGAAAATCCATCAAAACAAGCACCTTTTATTTATTTTCATTTTTGTACAATCACAACCGTAACAATCTTGCATAAAACGTCTAAAATTTAATCAGAAGCTGTTCTTGACCTCTTTGTAGTTCATTCACAGCTCGGTCTCTCATTAAACGTAACACTGAATTTTTAACCTCATCAGTCAAAATTATTGTAACAATAGCTACTATTTAGTTATTGACGTTGGAACGCACAAAAATCAAACTTTTTTTTCTCTCCTGGATTGTTTTTCATCAGTTCTTTCTGCTGCTGCACAAGAAGGGCTGGAGGAACGGTTTGGGAAATTAAATGAGGCTATAAAATAAAATTTGACCAACTTTCAGCACTAATTTAATAACAAAAGTACAAGAAATGTCTGTTCTGGACAAAATGTTCTGTGGGTTTGTCCATGCATTTCCAAAGTATCCATCTGGAGTCTCCAAATACATTTCAACACCAAAAGGCTGAAACTCCTGAATGCTTCAACATCATATTATCAGTGAAGCTCTAATGACAAACATGAAGCAATGTTTACACGTGGACTTCCTGAAGCCACTTCAGAACCCACCCGCTCATGCAGAACCTCGTCCTGATGTGAATATGATGGGCGGTAGGTTTGTAGCATCAGAACCAGCATCAGAGCTGACTATCTGATCTGTATGCAAGAATACTGTGTCCTTTCTGAAGGCATGATGCTCAGTAGATATCACTGGTCCTGAGAAACCACTGATCAACCCAATTGGGCAAAAGAGGTGTCAGTCAAAGGGAGAAGACCTACACTGCTAATATGACGCCATAGTATTTAACAGATGGAAGTCAGGCAGGAATCCCCGTGGACTATGATGTTTGCAGATGACATTGTGATCTGTGGTGAGAACAGGGAACAGGTGGAAGAGAACTTGGAAAGGTGGAGGTATGCACTTGAAAGAAGAGGAATGAAAGTCAGCCATAGTAAGACAGAGTACATGTGTGTGAATGAGAGGGAGGCCGGTGGAACAGTGAGGCTACAAGGAGCAGAGGACACAAAGGTGCAGGACTTCAAGTTCTTGAGGTCAACTGTCCAGGAAAATAGGGAGCATGGTAAAGAGGTGAAAAAGAGAGTCCAGGCAGAATGGAGTGGATGGAGAAGTTTCAGGAATGATTTGCGAATAAAAGGTGGCAGCAACGATCAAAGGAAAAGTTGTATGGTCTGGAGACAGAGACACGGACAAAAAGACAGGAGACAGAACTGGAAGTGGCAGAAATGAAGATGTTGAGGTTCTCCTTAGAAGTGACAAGGATGGATACGATTAGGAATGAGAACATCAGAGGTACAGCACAGGTTGAACAACTGGGAGATAAAGTTAGAGAGACCAGACTGAGATGGTGTGGACATGTCCAGAGGAGGGACAGTGGGTGTATTGGTAGAAGGATGTTAGAAATGCAGCTGCCAGTAAAAAGACACAGAGGAGAAATATGGATGCAGTTAGAGAGAACATGGAGGTAGTTGGAGTGAGGACAGAGGATGAAGAGGACTGAGAGAGATGGAGGAGGATGACTTGCTGTGGTCATGTGGATTTATATTCAAATCCACGTCAACAGGGCCCTCAGGCAGGTAGTTAAGTGTGCTTTGACTCACCTGCAGGATGTCTTGGTTGATGGCGGTTTCCATGGCAATCGGCTCTGAAGGCTGAGGCTGGGCCGTCTCCTCGCTGACCTGCTCCGACAGCTCTAGAAGCTGCTGGATGACATCTGTCACCCCCTCACCACCCTCTGACACCCCCACCGTCTGACCCGTTGTCTCAGTCTCCTACAGTCGCAGGGATGGGAGTAAAAGAGTGAAAAGAAAAGAAAGCAACAGAGAAGATGAGAATCGTAACAAAAGGAGCGGGAGAGGCCAGAATTTGATGGCTGAGTAACTTTTATTAGGGACTCTGTGGAGCATAAAATGAGCTACGGATTGAGTATCAGTGAACAGAATGCCAATGGCTGGCTACGAAAACATCAGGACACTCTGAGACTCAAATAGCAAAATAAACAAACAAACAAACAATAGGTATGTTTACAAATGTTAATTTCATTTGTGTATACTGTAAATATGTGGAGGATAGGTTGACATCACTAAATTGCATTTAAAAATGCTTTAACTACTATAATCATGGTGGTACAGTGGTTAGAAGACCAGTAAGCTCATTTAGTTCATATTTTCATGTTTCAGCTTTGCCCCAGGAGATAAAATGTCTCCATCTCATCCAAAATCAACACCCTCCTCTGTCACACCAGCGCTCAACGAGTTAGGATTGGACGATTGGGCTAAAAGTTTTAAATCGGCCACTGATACAGGGCTGCGCAATATACCAAAAATGTAATCCCAATATCCATTCATCCATCCATTATCTTGACCCGCTTCTTCCTTTTCGGGTCGTGGGGATCACTGGTGCCCATATTCAGCAATCACTGTGCGAGGGGCCGGGGGACACCCTGGACAGATATCTAGTCCATCACAGGGACACAGAGACAAACGAGACAAACAACCATTCACTCTCTCACTCACACCTAGGGACAATTTAGAGTTACCAATCAGCCTAACATGCATATTTTTGGTCTGTGGGAGGAAACCGGAGTACCCGGAGAAAACCCAAGCATGCACGGAGAGAACATGCAAACTCCACCCAGAAAGGCCCCCGGACTGGATTTGAACCGAGGCAACCTGCTTGCTGAGAGGCAGCAGCTCTAACAACTGTGCCACCATGCTGCGTACTCACAATATAATGTATTAGGGCTGCAACAACGAATCGATAAAATCGATAAAAATCAATGATTAAAAGCGTTGGCAACGAATTTCATTATCGATTCGTTGTGTCTCGCAATTATGCGTCTTTCACGGCGCTGCGGAGCCGTTTTGTTCACCTGCAGTTCACTGTCAATGCTGACTGACTGAATAAAGTTTGAAAAAAAAAAATTCTCTGCAGAGCGAGTTGATCAGAGCATGGGGGGCGGAGGAAGAAAAGCAGGGGCTTTTTTCAAAGGAAATTAAGTAAATTTTACAAATGACCAACGCAGAGAAAACTGTTCGACCCAACTCCTCCAAAGTGTGGGAGCTCTTCACAAAGATAAAAACTGAAACATGCAGCTCTGAAAAGTGACGACACGACACGGGAGAACCACGGAGATGAAACGTAAACATGTCGGAGTCACGAGGAGGAGGAAGGAGCAGCAGATACAACTCGTCTCACTCCCAACTCATGTGTTGCAGGTGAGTCTCTACAATATTCACATTTGTTTTGTTTCCAAGAGAGAAAACGTAACGTCAGTCTGTCTGGTAGATGAAGCTGTTTGTTTGTTTTGTTTGCTGATTAATGGCGGTGATAGGGAACGTGTGTTACTTTTTATTTTATTTAATTGGTACAAGCAGTGTTTAAATGTGATTTATAAATAAATCTAACACAAAGATAATAATTTAATGATTAAGTTTCAACTTTTAATTTGCTGGCAAAGTCTGAAGACACTGCAGGTATGGCAGGATGAATTGCATTTAAACAGGAATTAAAGTAATTTATTACATCTACTCAAATGTGTAATTAAGTATTTTATGTGTGTGTGTGTGTGTGTGCGTGCGTGCGTGCGTGCGTGCGTGCGTGCGTGCGTGCGTGCGTG